AAAATATCAGTGCGTGCTGCAAATGAACCAATTAACAATCAGGATATCAAGTTGGGGGACATTGTCTTGTTCTTGTTGGAGGCCCTTGTCTTGTTCTTATTGGGTGTACAAAAAGAAAATTTACTAAACAAATCTTTTTATAGCATTTTTTTTATAAAAAATTGGTGGGTCTGTTGGGGGCCTAGGACCCCTACCACCATGCACTAGATCCGCCCCTCTTGGCAAGTTGAGCATTTAAGAAGAGGGGCGGTGTATTATGACATCTTATATGTTCATATAATCTCCTAATTAAGGGTCTTTATAAGACTCTCATGTATGTATATTTACAAAATACGCTGAATACAAATGCCTTACCATGTATTTCACAATACATGGAAGTGTGTGTGTATTATCAGGCAACCATGATTGTGCTTTTCTAAAGAGCGTTTTATCATTGTATTTACTTAATCTTATGCTTTAGTTTACCCTTTGGTCTAATATTCAATTTTCTTCATCTTTGCAGGTGGAAAAAAATCGAAGAGGAAGCGAGATAATGATAAGAATGCAACAAAGGAAAGAGATGATACCACATGATACCACAACTGTATTACATAACTGGGGTACTAAATGTTTGTAATACATGAGAACTGGTGTGCTACATTGTGATACCCTGGAAATGATATGAGAATGTATATATGATACATAAAAAGTTATAGCACCACATCATACACAGCCTAATGAATTTTTTAAATACCAACTGTTTTGTAGTACATGAAACCACAAATGTATTACATCCAAAACAAGAACATTTATTGGTACCACATGATACCACAACTGTAATACATAACTGGGATACTAACTGTTTTTCTGGTTTATTGTTTGTACCACATGATACCACAAYTGTAATACATAATTGGAGTACTAACTGTTTTTCTGGTTTATTGTTTGAATTTATTTAARCGAATCATAATAATCTTTAATTTAGGAATGTAAATCAATATTAATTATTTTTTTGAAACGGTTCTATTTTAAAAATATAAATTTAATCTTAATTTACATATTGACTAACATAACCTTTTAATTTGATTTTAATTGTATAATTAATATATTAAAATGATTGGTTGAGATTGGTCCTCATAGTTACCACAAACAACTCAGTTCTCCCTTGGTTAACATTTGAACCAACCCCGATATATATATATATATATATATATATATATCGGGGTTGGTTCAAATGTTAACCAAGATTATTGTGTTAACTTTATTAACCAATCTTGGCCATTGATTCTTACAATAAATGATAAAAAATTAAATTTTTAAATTTACAATTTCAAAGAACATATGTGAACAACGGAGAAAAAAGTATTTAGGTAATTTTCTTTTTTATGTAACTTCCATATCATTAATTGGGAGTTGTAAAATAAAAAAATCTCATTATTTTTATTAATTTATTTTTGTTAATGTAAGAACCATATCAACACATATACACACACACACACACACACACATATATATATATATATATATATATATGAACCATGAGGTTGGTTCAAATACTAACCAAGAAATTTGTGTTAACTATACTAACCAAGACTAACCAATCATATTCTTTCTTTACTTTATGTTCAAATATAACTTATAAATTAAATACAAGGGTAATTATGTAATTTGATCTTTATGTAACTCCCTAATAATTAATTGGGAGTTACAAATCTTAAAGATCCCTCTAATTGATATTAGGCAATTCTGATTTTTATCTTCATTTGTATTCATGATCGTGATTTCAAGTGATGTTCTACATATAATGATATTCGTTTTGTAAGTGTAAAAGATTTCCATATCGCCCGAGTAATATGGATAATACTATTGTAAATCATATTGATATTGTAAATCATATTGATAACAATGAGAATGACATTAAAGTTAAAATCAGATACGACTACGGTCGGAATTCGAATTCCGATGATGAAGAAGATGATCAAAGCGTTCCGGTTGGTAAGTGATTAATATGACATTTATTTTGTTTAAATAAACAGCTATTACCGTTGTGAACCATTAAATATTCTTGCAAATATAGTCGAATTCGAAACAAATAAGAACAGATTATAAGAGATATGGACACACATTAACACATATGAAACTGCACAAATCAAATAAATATAGATGTTACGATTCATTAGTGTTCAGCTGTATGAAATGCATTATATTTTCATATTGACACACATGAACAATTACACCACATATTAAGAGATACTAAGACATAAGGACACACACAACATATGAACACATAGCAAAGGCAAAATATGTGGATATCGATACATATGCACAACTACATCACATGAATATGAACAGGATTTTTGAGTAGTATGTCATGTCGTTGTTCATATCGATACATATGCACAACGCGTTCACATGAACATGTGATCAGGCTCTGTGATTCATGTGAACAACGTCTTTTTACATTTTTACCCTGTGAATCCATTGTTCACATGTTATTAATTAATATATTAAATAAATAATTAAATTCTTATTCTCATTAAACCACAACCGTTAGATGTTCAAATCAACGACCAATATCGGTTAACAAAGTTAACACAATAATCTTGGTTAGTATTTGAACAAGCCCCTATGAACCATTGTATGAACAAAAATTGACATATATATGAACTTGGACTGTATAGCATTTATGAACACAATATGAATATAATAAGAATAGTTGTTACACGAAAGTAAATAAATAAATAAAACAGTTATGAAAACAATATGAACAGTTTGTGAACAATAGTTCCTTCATTATGAACAGTTTGTGAACAATAGTTTCTTCATTATGAACAATAGTTTTTTTATTATGAACACATTCAGGAGCAAGCCAATGTTGAGATATGCAACTAGTGTATATATGAACACAATATGAACACTTGTGAACAATTCTTTAACAATTACATATGAATTCGAATTCCGGTTGTAGTCATAGACGATTTTAATCTTTTCATTCTCATTGTTGTCGATCTGTTTTCCAATAGATTTATCCATATTACTCGGACGATATCGAAATCTTTACAATCGGAAATTCTTTAACAATTACAAAATCAATATCATTATGGATAGAATAAATCGAAATAACAAAACATGAACACATATAAAAAAATATCAATATTATATAATCATCAATTATTGAGATTTTTAGATTTGTAACTCCCAATTAATGATTTGGGAGTTACATAAATGACAAATTACTTAATTACCCTTGTCATTAATATATGAGTTATATGTGAACCTAAAGAAAAGATGGAATATGATTGGTTGAGTTTGGTTAACAAAGTTAACACAAAAATCTTGTTTAGTATTTGAACCAAACACACACACTCTCTCTATCTCTCTCTCTCTCTCTCTCTCTCTCTATATATATATATATGACCATGGCTTTGGCTAATTGTGAGTTTTATTATTAAGCTTAGGTGTTCATAACGCGAAAGCCATTCTCCATCAAGTTGGTCTTCTTTCTCCATCATATTTAAGCAAAAGAAGTTTCATTTCTTACTTGTCAACTAGTGGCGGATCTAGAAACTTTCATAGTTGGGGGCACATTTAAGGGTGTAGAAAAAAAATTCAAAACCAAATAATTCATCCAGATGAACGGTTTTGGGTTTTCCTTTTCGGCTTAAACGGTTGTGTTAACCGAATAAAAACAACTTATTCATGTCGATTTTCAGCTGACTTTTTACTAATTCATCGAGGTGTATAATTTTTTGTATTTTATATTTCGAACGAAAATATCAGTGCGTGCTGCAAATGAACCAATTAACAATCAGGATATCAAGTTGGGGGACATTGTCTTGTTCTTGTTGGGGGCCCTTGTCTTGTTCTTATTGGGTGTATAAAAGGAAAACTTACTAAACAAATCTTTTTGTAACATTTCTTTTATAAAAAATTGGTGGGTCTGTTGGGGGCCTAGGACTCCTACCACCATGCACTAGATCCGCCCCTCTTGGCAAGTTGAGCATTTAAGAAGAGGGGCGGTGTATTATGACATCTTATATGTTCATATCTTTTCCTAATTAAGGGTCTTTATAAGACTCTCATGTATGTATATTTACAAAATACGCTGAATACAAATGCCTTACCATGTATTTCACAATACATGTCTTACAATATTTTAGCAGAATGTCACCACTTTCAAATCACACATGGGTCAATCATCCTTATGTTTATTATACGAATTTCGCATTCGTATGGGTGTAGTGCTTTAGGATAACGCTTAGAAACCAAGGTAAGTTGCAGTAAGAGGCCTAAAATACTTGGTTCCCATGGCCTCAACCAAATCCAAATGCTTTTGAAGGAGATGCATATAAACCACCCAATCCCCATTCTTCGTTACACTTGGCATCGGCATCACATACCCGGTTTGGCCGCCCCACGGGAAATGATACGACCCGAACTGAGGCTTTCCCCATCCGAAATCAATCTTTTCCATCTGAAACCGCATCCCGGATGACACCACCACTGCACCCCCATCGTTGTCTTCCATTCTGGTGTATATCTTCGTAACTGCTTTCTCAGGTCGATGCACCTCAACCCAATCAATGAGTCCCCTAAAGTGTTCCTTAGTCTTTGTACCACTGACAAACTTATGGACCATCTTAGCCACCTGGCTAAGTGGCATTTCCTTGAGATCATCGGAACTCGCCTCCCCAGATGAAATGGAAAGTACATTTCCAAAGTAGTTTTCCATTGTGAAAGAATCAATGTTTGATGGATTTTCAAAGTTGGCAATATCATTCAGCCTTTCTCGCCCATCCACTACAACACCCATCCTGCAAGTCGTGGAGTCATCATCACCTTCTGCTATTATCTTCCATAGAAGTGAGATAAATGATATAAGTTTGCTTTGTGGGTTTCCATCCAAACTTGAAACTGCTTGAAGGTTATTGACATCGTTGGCTTCGATGTAGTAAATGCGGCTTATGAGGGGATTTGTTAGGTCTGAAGTTGGCGATGGAGGAAGAGAAGAGAAAGGCACATAGAGGGTGTCGTAGTAGCTGGTGATGAGAGGTGGGCGTCGCGGGTGGAGTACGGAGCGTCTGAAAGATGGTAAGCAGGAGACGGGTTTGGATCGTTGAATCTCTGCCCACGACGCCAAGAACATGTTCATGGAATGTGCATCCGCTACTCGATGATCGAATGTGCATCCGATTACTAGCCCTCCACAATTGAACTCGGTAACCTACTTCACAGACATCCGATTACTTTGTAAACCACGTTATTTGTATAAACCGTATAAACCTCACTCAACCAATCATAATTTTTCATTTTGTTCATTTTTTTTTATAATTATGAGAGCTTGATTAATCATTTTTATTGTCGAGTTATTAATCATGAATATTATCATCTTCATTATTTAAATTTTAAAGAAATACATGAAACAGTTTCATTAAAATTTCATTAAGTATTATATGAAATTTCACAAGATTAAACAATTTCACGAAAAAATTTCATAAGATTAAACAATGAAATCGATGGATAAGGGTGGTTTGCACGGTTTGTACAAATTGGATGGTTTGCATTTAATCGCTCATCTCTATCTATATACACACATTACGTACCTGGACTGAAAGAACACCTTTTGTTTTAACTGGAACCAGTTTTCCTTCAACAGAATCATCAGGGTGGTAAAGATCAAGATCTTTAAGCTCCACAGAAGCACATGCTTGAACGAGTTCGACACCATGGTTATTGCAGAGAAGCTCTGGTTCGCCTTGGCTAGTGTAGACGACTTCTCCAGCGAGTGGATAAAAGTGGACAAGTGCTAGAGAGAGTGATTGTTCGATGAGGTTGATAATGCAAGAGTTTTCATCGCCATGATCCATTGGTTTTCTGTAACAGAAGAAAACTCCTACATCGAGCGGTGGTATCAGTAAGTCTAGGTTTGACATGGGTAGCCACAGGTTCTGCACTGGTGTCGCTGCCATGATGATGTCAGTTTGCTTCACACTCACTGTCAACATTCCTATTGAACCCATCATATATATATATATATATATAGAGAGAGAGAGAGAGAGAGAGAGAGAGAGATTTAATGTTAGAATGGAGGTTTAGGAACGATGAAGGATGAGAGAGTTGGAGAAGAATGGATGATTTATAAGATGAGAAGGGTGATCGTGAATACTTTTCAGAAGAGTTGTCGAAGCGATAAGAGTTTCCAAAAACGATCTAATCAAACTAGGGAAAAAAATGGGATGCTCCACTAAGAAGTATTTACACCTATTTTTCTATTTTAATAATTAATATATTTATACGTATTTTGACAAAAATTCTTAAAAATCATTTTTTATGTATGAAGTACTGTTTATTGATGCATATTACTTAAAATTCAAGATTACAAGTAAATTATACATAAGTACAACTTATTAAAGCTCTATGTTTGAATTCGTGTAACTAACTGCAGATAAACATAATCAAATAGAGAATAAACATCTCAATTTTCAATAAAGAAAAACTAAAATATAATTAGGATAATTATTGAGTTCTAACAGAATACTTAATTATTATCTTTATAAAAAATATATTATTAAACCTAAATCAAATTAAATTAAATTATAATAAAAAATTTGAATTAAAAAAATATACAAACAAAAACTTTTAAGTAGTTAATTTGATACTAATATTGATATATATTTTTTGTAAATTGTATATGATACTTTCAAATTTATATTTTTTTCAAAAATAAAACATTATCATTTTCTCAAAACCACATAAAATCGTATTATATCGACATGAATAAATAATAAAACAAAACATTGAAATGAAAATGTATCTCGATGCATTGCACGAATACCTTTCTAGTAAACTTAAAATTAGTATATTAAAAAGTAAATAACCAATTAACAATGAAATAATTTTATTGTTTCATATTTTAAGTTTTTATCCGTGTTTCTTTATTTAAAGAAAAATAATAATTTTTAATTCCATATCTAGTTTAGTTATTAATTAGAAAAAATAAGAAAAAATCCCCTTAAAAATTAATTAAAAAAAATACTTGTTTAAAGTTTAAAATAGTAAAAAGGACAAGAAAAATAAAATGTGTTCAAAATATTTCATACTAAGACTATCACATCTTTTAGTACTAATAAAACTTTTTTGTATTTTAAAAATGAAAAACGTATCCGTTTTAAGGATAAATTGTATAAAAAAATAATGTATTTTAACTTGATTCTTATTTTGCTTAACGTACTTTTAAAACTTTCATTTTGGTGCCTATAATGAAAAGTTTTAAACATTTAAGTACTCGGGTAACCAATTGAAGCATTAACCGGTTATCATGCTGATATGGCAAGTGATGTAATATCCAACTCAGTACTATTTGCTGACGTGGTTAGTGACGTGAATTTTTTTAATCTAAAATTAGTCTTTTTTTAATCTAAAGTTAGTCTTTTTTTTAATCTAAAATTAGTCTTCAACCGGTTATCCGGATACTTAAATGTTTAAAACTTTACATCGTAGGTATCAAAATAAAAAATTTAAAAATATGTTACCCAAAATAGAAATCAAGTTAAAGTATGTTAACTTTTTTATGCAAATTGCCCTAGTTTTAAAACAAAAAGAAGGTAGGGAAGTAAAAGAAATTGTAGGGATGAAAATGAAATCTTTGATAAACCACAAGGACTAAAATTGTAATTTACTTTTCATTAAACTTTATTTTCTCTTTCTATTTGGAAAATTGTAACTTAGCTAACCGTGCATTAGCCACCGACATATTTATATTTCAAATTAAATTAAATCCATTTTAAGGATTATTGAAAATATGTGATATTTAAACGTGTGTGGTCTCTCAGATATCTCATTTAAGATAGTTTACATAAACAAGAAAAAAAATCTTTGTTTCCCCATCGGGGATCCCCGTTGGAGATGGGGATGTGAATGTGATCAAATTTCCTGACCATTTAATCATTATGCATCAAACAATTCAACAACTGTCAAACAGTCTCTAATACAATATATATTTTTGTATTTACATAATAGCCCCTCAAAAATATTAGTACTTGCTCTACTAACCTCCAAGTTCCAAGATAAGCGAAGCACAGTCATTCAATCTTTAAGCTTTAATACACTTGTCACAAACAACCGTTATCTAATGATAACCTAACAAAATAGATACACAAGGTCAAGATTGGCAACTTATTACCTATTTCAACAAAAAGGGGCCTGAAAGAGACCATGGCCCAATCATAAAAAGCCTAACAAAATGCCAAAAAGGATTAAAACCACGAAAATGTTTAAAAATCATGCTTAAACAGCGTTTTTCAGGCTTCAAAAGTTGGTTAGTCCCCTTTGGAGATCTAGAGCGAGAGTTGTAGCTTGTTAAGCACGATCCCTTTCGGTAGCCTAATCATGGACCTCCAAGAACCATAGGGTCCGGTTCTCAACACCCAAACGCCCATCATTTATTCTTAAAAACACCAATTTCATTGTAACGTGATGAATCAAATTTGTACTATAATTGTTGACATTACAGGAGACACGTCACCAATTAGTTTGCCAAGTATAGAAGCAATCACTACATAGTATTATTTTTCATATTCATTAATGGTATAAAATTCCTTCAGTTAATTGATTTCTCACAATCCATTAATGTTAAATATTGATGTTAATGTCAACTCGTCTCACAAGCCTATATTCCTACTAAAATCTGTTGTCTTCGTATTTCAATTACCTTTTATGTTTTATTAATCTCATGAATACAAGTTATTAATTATTTAATATAAATGTATCTGATTCATCTCTTTAATCTCTGGTCTCACGACATTGATAGACATGAAAGAGACGGTATATTTTTTTAGACTCCATTTCGAGCATCAAATAAATATGCCTTCCACGTGTAACTTATTTGGCAAAGGGATGGACAACTTTGCTCAAACAGTATAGTATACAGGTCTGGAGTTCGATCCACCGCTAAATACCCTTCATATTAGCGTCCAGAGAATGAGCCCCGCCCCATTGGGGACCTGGTGTACTCGTTCGGGTCGAAGATTCCCTGCAAAACCGGTTGATATGAAATGAGTCTTTCAACAATTTAAATTTGGTTTAGCACATTGGTTTATCAAGAATTGATGGTGCAGAGTTGAAACATCGTAGAGCGAGTTAGGTGAGCATTTGCATATTTGATAGACTGTAACCATCCTTCCTTTTCAGCTTTCTTTTTTTATCATTAAAATTATTCTATTTTATTTAAATTTAAATATAAATTAAATACAACCAATATATACACAGTATCCTTGACAAATTCTCTATTATTTTCTTCAAAATTAAGAAACCACTGAAATTGAATGTATTATTTTCGAGAATTTGAATTTGAATTTGAATTTGAATTTGAATTTGAATTTTATAGAATCTATTGAAGATGTTTTTATCGTAACAGAAGTTAGTTTATTTTGATGCTTTGTTTCATATATTTTGAAATTAGCAAACTAAAGGGTCGTTTACCAAATACTCACTTGGTAAGTGTTTACCAATAAAATTTAACTCTATTATTTACTTACTGAATAAGATCTTAGTCCACCAAAACGACATCGCATGCAACAATTTACCCGGGTAAGTGCTTGCCGTGGTAAGAGTCGTCACCCTCACTTACCGGGTAAGATTTTTGGTCATTGTCTTGCTCTTACCGGGTATGATTTTTGGTCCTTACCATATTCATCCGGTAAAGTAATATGACTTGGTAAGCACTTACCAGAGTAACAGTTTGGTAAACGACCCCTAATTATATATATATATATATATATATATATATATAAATTATGTTTGACAATCATAATTTAGCTCTTTTTTTTTTTGGAGATTATATAAAAACCATGTTTATAAATTAGCTTATTAAAATATTATTTGATTCAGGTTTTCATAAAGATCAAAAACTTTTTATCATTTTTTTTCAATTATACCTAAATTATTTACTATTATTAATTGATATATTTCCTTATAAAATATTAAATTATCAATCACGTATTATTAATTAATTACTTTTTAGAAAAATTAGCAATAAAAAAATATTTGGTTACTAATATATACATATATATTACTAATAACTATTTAGAAAATATATGAATGTATACTTAAGAGTTTCTTAATATAATATAATATAATATATATACACTAGAAGGTTACTCACGTAATACACTAATATAAATCTTTATTTTAATGTTTAGTTTTTATTCTTTGTTTCTATTGATATAATACGATTTTATGTGTTTTTAATAAAACAATATTGTTTTATTTTTAAATGAAATATAAATTTAAAGATAACATAAAAATTTAAAAATATAAATTGATATTAATATCAAATTAACTATTTAATAGTTCTCATTTTTTTGTATAACAACTTTAATTCAATTTTTTTATTATAATTAATTTAAATTTAATAATAAAGTAATTTATTTTTTGTTTAATAATGTAATTTTTTATAAAGATAATATTTAAACATTTTGTTAGAACTCAATGATTACCTTAATAATATTTTATATTTTATATATTTAAAATGAATGTTTATTTTGTATTTGATTGTTTATCTGCAGCTAGTTACACGAATTTAAAAATAGAGCTTTAATAAGTTAACTTATGTAAAATTACTTATAATCTTGAATTTTAAGTAATATGGATCAATAAACAGTACTTTATACATAAAAAATTATTTTTAAAAGTTTTTATCAAATATATATATATATATATATATATATATTAAGAAACTCTTTAAATATACATTCATATATTTTCTGAATAATTATTAGTTATATGTACAGTATATATATATATATATATAATATAGAACATGTAATTACTAATTAAATAACTTTTGAAGTGACAAGTATCCTAAACATAATTGGTCACACCAATTAATAATTTTATAAAACATTTCACATTTCCATGCATGCGATGGTCGGTGCCATGATGTAAAAACTTTGTAATAATATCGTAATTAACTAATCATAACATGGAATGCAATATATGTTGATTTCATTATGTTTATAAC